ATTTAGTAATTATTTCTGGACCTACCGATCTCAACACGAGAGGGATACCCTCCCTAGTCACCGGGCCGATCCCCTCGAACTTTCGAGGGCCCAGATCGGCCATCTTCTTCGGCGGCTCATTTTCTGTTTCCGGCTCGCTCTCGTACTCTTTCTTGAGGGTGTAGACTGAGCGATTCAATTTCACAAGAGATCATTAGCACTCGCGTACGAAAATACGCGTCGGCGCGCACGGTTATCAAACGGTTATCACAGCTAGTTAGCGAGCTAGTTAGTGATAAGGTACAGAAAAGTGGTGTGATTGGATTTCCGAAAATTGGTGTACATGTAACTTGGGCGGTTCTTTTTTTATATCAAAATTATTATCGTATAGTAATTATATATTGTGGAATTATTTAAATTATGATCTCGCTCGATGTACTTACTTATTTCTCCCGGAGAAATCAGCGGTCTCTCGTCGTTCGTAAGGCGATTGTCGGCGGATTCGCTCTCCAAGTAAGCCGCGCCTTTTGGCAATTGTCCCTCTGCAAATAAAAGATCGCAATAATCCTTCCTTCATGTTTTCCTCTTTAATTCGAATTTTCGCGGCGAAGCGCTTTCGCCGATAAATGGAAATAGAGAAATTTCGATGAGAAATGCTGACCTCTCGCTTTCTGCAGTAGCGTGATAGTCGGATTCTGGGCACGTGGCAAGCGCGGCGTGGACGCGAGCGCGTTCAATCCCTGCGAGGGCGCCGAGTGCGAATTGACGATTCGCGCGGTGCTGCTCTCGTATGCGCTTCGCGTACCCTCCTTCGTCGTCTCCTCGTTGTCCCAAGGCGGAGGCGCCTTCTTGAACAGAATCTCGTATGAGAGCGCGCATCCTTGAACTTCGCGCCACTCGACTCTTCGCAGAGACAAGTTTTTTTTTTTATTTTTAATCCCGCGTTTGTTAAAGGATTTTATTTTCAGAGCTCTTGTGCAAATTCGACGCTTCCGCTAATTGCGAATCCAGTTCTTCGCGCTGAGCAAATGGCTCCGGGCGCAATTAATTAAACATACCTCTTCCCGCGGCTGCCTCTTCCGGCTCAGCACAGGACTCTCGAATGGCACAGGACGAAACTCTTTCTTCTCGGCGACGGGGCTCGCGCCAGCGTTGGCGGGGGTCCAAACCGCCGGAATCGGCTCGTTCTTCTGCGGTTCTGCGGCGCGCAATTCGGGACTCGGCTGCTTCGCAAGTGGCGTCTGTCCTGGCGACCAAACGCCTGGCAACGAAAATTCGCTCTTGAAAATGTTATTGATACTACATAACGACGCAGCCGCTGTTAATTAGCACTCAAATATGGTTATCTCGTCAGACTTGATGATAGTTTTATTTGAAGAAAAGGCCAGACTAATTACTTCCCCTAAATTAATTCTCTACGCCTACTATAATTTCGATACATTAATTTCGATAAAGTACTTTTAAGCTCCGCCATTCGCGCTGGATATATCGATCGCCCGATGAGAAATCGATTTACGTTGTATCATCGAAAGGTCTTTGCTCTTGAAAGCAGCTGTGGATTTCGTAGATTGGCGCTAAAACTAACATGTGAAATGTATACGAGCGCGATGCTAATCTTGGCGCACGGGGGCGCATTACATAAGGGATCATCTTTTTCCCAGCTACTTCCTGCATTTTGCTGTATCACCACCTATTTGTAGCCGTTTAAAAACAGTTCCTCCCGACGTAGCTGATTTATTAAATCAACATTTACGTTTATGTCACGTGTCTGTAGAATTTAGAACAAATTAAATCTCCGAAAAAAATAGTTTTATAGCCGTGCCATTTTTAACAAATGACACATTTTCTGCTTCAAGCTGTCATATCAAAGATTTTCTCAATCTATTTAATTTTCCATCACATTTTCAATAATTTGTATCAAACGGTTTTAGAATTTATTAAACAAAATCAAATTGCAAAATAATTATCAGATAAACATGGATATAATTTTTTAATCAAAACGCAATTTCTTATGTAATAGCAAATCAAGAAAAAAAATGTAGCAATTTGTTGTCGCGCTTTAAATGAGAGAAAAATATATGTCACAATAGCGATGATATAAGCGGAGCTATTGACGGGTGACATCGTCGAATGTCAGATAGAGGGACGGCATAAGGTCGATAAAGATACACCGCGATGAGTCACAGGCTCAGCATATGCTGCGTTCAATTGAACTCCTGCCGGCCAATTTGCCGAGCGGTGCCTCTATCGCGCACGCGACAACAGGAAATCAGGGGCGATGTTCATTCGGGGCGCGGGTAAAATTAGAAGCTCGCGTAGGCGGTGTGTAGGTAGGCATTATAAGATACGCGTAATTACAATTGGCCGGGAACAACCTAAAACCTAAACACAATGCCGCGGCGATTTTCTGGAGCGACGCTCTGCGCACGACACGTCGGTCGGTCGGGCGTCGCGCGAGCGTTCACGCGCGGATTCGGGCGTCCGGCGAGAAATGAATCTCCTTCCGCTCGTGTTACATATTGCATCGCGAACGTGATAATTTACGACCGCTCAGGTATCGCGTATTTCTTTATATCTAGGAAGATACGCGCAATTAATGTTAGACACGTGAATTTATGACACCGTTACGATAGCGCGGCTATACATTTTCGCTAATTGCAACACCCGTGCGATTAATCAACGTTGCGACGCCAGCTGCAATGCCGCCGTTGGAAACGTCAAAAACATCGAATTGCCATCGTTTTTGGATTATGCGCACGGCACGCGCTATTTATATAATTAACAATTGCGCCGGTGAAAACATCAATACCGCAAGAGCGACTACCTCGCGTAACTGAAATTAATGCACAAATTTCCCGTCTTACCTGGACAAATTACGGAGCGAGATTATACATGTTACTCGGAACATGCACGCAACACACACACAGCGACAAGGACTTAATTACGATCCCGCTGTTAAGACACACGTGGCCCCGCACACAATGCGGCTGCACCCTACACGTAATTAATTTTATTACGCTGGAATGATGTTTGTTAAAGTAATAAAAGACCACTTTCGATCCCATTTTTCTTATCGCGTCACTCATCATTCATTTATAACGCGAGTTTCCAACTCGATTCTCCATCGAAAACTAATTAATCAGTGAGCATTTCATTAAAAATGTTAATAGACAGGTATACGTTCGTAATTAATAAATACACTGAGCGAACAACATCGAGCATTAATCTACTCAGTCATTATGCAAATTTTACGACAAAGTTAGTCTCACATTTCTCGCACAGGTTTACCTGGTTTCGCCGACGAAGCTTTAAACGTAGGGGCGAACATAACGTTCTCTGAAAGCATTAAATAACATTTGGTCAAACGGTGTCTCGGGTGTTCGCTGCTTTCAAAATTTATCTCACGACATTTTTTTACGGAGTATCTTCATTTTTAATAATATTAATTTTAAGAATTTTTCAAAAGCGAATACCTCGACGCTTATCGCGAATCAGCGTTAATATCGCGCAACGCAAACGGTCTTTACGGTCCAATATCATCCCGAGAGCTCTTCAAAGTTACTTTCGCGATGAAACCGCCGCGGATTCATTAATATAAAAGCGATCCTGATGAACCGCTGCGAAACGGACGCAAAGAGAAGGAACAAGGCGAAGTGGATTGCCGTATTAGAGCGCGGCATATCAATGTCACGACGCATTTTTAAAATTAATCATGTAATTTGCGAGGACTGAAAGAATAAAGCTTCTTTGATCTTCGACCGATCTGTCCCTTTAAGATCTCGGAATTAAATCGATCTTTTATGTCAGCAAATTAATTTCTTATCATTAATTAGATATTTTTAGGCCCTTCTTTCAATTTATTCGCCATTTTGGGGAAGGATAATCCGAAAGCTAGCTCTTCAGAGATATTTTCTTCGAACGGATATAAACTCCGATTTTCCCCGCGATCGCGGAACTACCTGTTGAAGGAATTTCCGAACAGAACAATATCCCTTATCGCGTCTTTATTCATCTTGTTATTCGATGATACGTCGATATGCCGGAAACGATCACTCACTTTTCTCCAACATTGTCACTTCACTCGTCTCCACGTTATTTTATTCGACGCAACACCGCGTATTTCTCAACGGGGAGACACACTCCTCTCGCGAGGTACAAGAAAGTAGCACGGATGATGCCAGCCGACTGAAGCGTCGCGACGCCGATGGGGCTCGACGCCACGCCGCGTGACGCTCACTACGCCGACGTCGACATCGTCCGAAACTGTTCTATACAGAATTTTACAGTTCCCCGCCAAACAGCCAAGCTGGCTATGCACTACGCTTGGATGCAAGTCTGAACGAGTTTCTTTCTCAACATATCACCATCCTGATGTAATATAAATATAAAATTACGGCTTTCAAAAGTTGTAATCTTGCTCTACGATTTATCTCACATTCTTTTGATCCCTCGCCATTCATTTTTTTACATGTTAAATAAACTTTCGTTGTGAAGCATATTCGATAAAGGTTAAAATGCAAAATTATGTAATGCATGCTATAAAGCAAAATTGCTGACGCACCTTGCTCGAGTAGAAATCCTTTGCCGATTCTCAAAGCTTTGTCAATCTCGTGCAGCAGCTCATTGCTCTCATTGCTTCTTCCCTTCGCAATGATATCACAACCGCTTCCTTTGATTAAAAAAAAAAGGCATGTCCAAAAAAAAAGTAAAAGAAAGATGCGATAAATTAATCTCGAGCAGCGCGCTGTAAGTTTGTTAGCGAGTCGCAAGCTGTGTCGAAACGGGTGACGAAAAGCTTTCTCTGTGCAATTTTCGCGTGTCTGTGAAGGAAGAACTAATAACATCGATTGATACTTGAATATAAATTTGTATTCACAGACGGATGACTAAATTCGCACATTCAGCTCCGACGGAACGCACGCCGCGGCTAAACTTTCGTGCTAAAGATAGAATAGAAAATAAACGGACGCTTCGGTAACCGCGTCGAAAGGTTCACAAGACTTATGAAATACAAATAACCGCAATGAGTTAATAGTAATAGGCGAGAATGAGCCGATCGTGCGCTTGGCAATATGTCAATAAAAGTTAACAATGTTGCGCGGTCTTCGAATATCGATTATTATGTCTAATACCGTTATTTTTACATATTTTTATTTCCGCTGTCAGCAGTAACGGTCGATATGCTTGAACATAACATGCGCTTTCATGCCATATTGTAGTATAAATACACTACAATATTTATTATTAGTAAACGATTAAAAAAAAGGCTGGAAAATCGAAAGAGCGAGCATGCAATAAAATACGGTTTGGTAAAAAAGAATTTTTAGATGAAATCCAAAAATAATTAATTCCATAACCAAAGTCAACGGAAAATCCTAATCATCGTTTAACGCAAATTATATTTAAAAGAATGCTCGAGATAAAATAGTGAATAAGTGCTAAAATTTTAATAGTGCTTGTTAAAATAATATCTATTAAAAATCCATCAAAATTTGACATTTTATAAAACCCTGCATCTAAGACGTAAAAATTTTGATTATTGATCATAAAAAACTTTTTCAACTTATCGTATCAAGCTCACTGACATTATTATTAACAAACAGCTTGACTGTGCATTATGCGGACAATTCAGTAGACAAAAGTACGTCTCGGAGAGGATGTTGCGTACGAGCGGGCCAGTAGGCCACGTCGCGTATTAGTGATTGAAAATAGCCGAAAACACAAGGCGGTGGTTTCGGTGCGCGCGCGCTAGCCGAATTGGTGAACGCGTCCTACGAGCGCGAGAGTGGCCTATTTCTCGTCTCGCGACGGCTTATATTTAGATTTTCATCCTCGAATGAATCACACGAAAACGCCGCAAGCCGACCGCGCGGATGCGGCGACGAAATTGCGGCACGGGAAAAAATAAATCGCAAGCCCGGTACTCTTCCACAGATGCGCCCACCACCTGACCCTGACCAGGTTGACTACGTTGTCCCTTATCGCACAAATTCGCTTGAAGAGCTTATATCGTGTCAAATAGAATTTTGTGGGAGAGATTTTCGAAAAATAATATAATTAACGTAATAGCGTTATATTGTATTATAATATTACGGTATTATTTTCTCGGAAGGGAAGAGAATATGTTGTACAAAATTATTCAATAATGAGGGGATTAAATATTCCGCAAACTAATCGGTTCAAGAGAGTCGAAACATAAACGACATGACGCAATTTGATAGCCTCCAAGCCTCCGTGTTGATATATTCGTTATCGCAAACCGTCGCGGTTCATTATCCGCACTCTGTCGTACGTGAAGCGTTACGCAGCTCCGAAAGCTGCAAAATGGTTGATACAATAATTTTCCATCGCGTCGCTTTGAATCGATCGCCTCGAAATAAATGCTCGAAACGCAACCGCGCGCGCGCGTGTGTCGATCGCGGATTTACGTCGCAAAATGTTAAATCCCGCTCTACCAATGCGACGCGCGCGAACGGACACGTTAATGAAAAACGCGCGTAAATACGTATTTATTAATGTCACGTTAACTACGCTTCGCGATACACAACGAGATTGATTATTTACAAAGACTTGCTATCGTTTGCGAGACGAGATAGTAATCGGATTGCAAAATTGGTTGCAATCTGGACCGCGCGATTATGATGTTGCATTTACGTCAACGTGAATCCGCGCCGCTTCCGTCTTATCGCCGCGAACTAATTTGGCCTACGGAGTTGTTTAGGGAAAACGCACTTGAGACAGTAATGAGATTTCCGCTTCGACGTTGCCGCTTGTCTCCTTTATTGAGAAAGTTCGACGACAGCTTTAAGGCGATCCAACGAGAACGAGAATGACTTCGGTGTTCGTCGAAGACGAGAGAATTCCTGATTCACGATAAATCTCAACTATTTTAATCAGAGACGCGATATTTTCAATTTTACTATTCGCTTTTAACACGCATATTTCATACGACAAGAATTTGATATTCGAAAAATCTTAACTATTTTAATTCGATTTTACTTCTCAGTTCTGTTGTGCAGAATTGATTTTTCATCTCTTCAAATTGCGTCAATTCTGTTATTTCGTGAATAAAGTAAATTTAGTACAAAATTTTGACGTATGAGCATTAAGGATTAATTATTTCTCTTCCCCATCTTTTTTGCCTATAAATTTTACAATTTGTTTTTATCCCGCAAAATTCGTAAGTGACGAAATATCGTAATTTTAGAAAGATCATCTTCATTTGAGTTAAATTACAGATTTTCACTTGTCAGCTTTATGGCACAGAACTAATCTCTTAAAATTGTGTCACAATCTTGTTATCTCGCGAACAGAATAAATTTACGAAAGAATCTTGGCATGAATAAACATTAATTAAAGATTAACTCCACGCCTTCTTTGCCCCATAAATTTTCCAACTTGTTTTTATCGCACAAAATTCGTGAATGACGATAATTTGTGATATCCGAGAAATCTTTATAAAATTTTACTTGTTATTTTATGGAAATTTCAGTTTTTCCTTTAAATCGCGCCAATCTTAGTACTCGTGCGTTTGCAAAGGTAATCTTGAATCGATGAATTAATTAATTAAGGATTAATTATTCATCTTCCCCGTCGCTTTCGCCCAACGGGCTTTTCATGTGTTGACATCAAGTGGATAGATAGAGAGAATTAGCATAATACTATCAACATCGTTAGTGACGACAAACATGAGGCAGCTACGGACTTCGCGCAAGACGCGCGCGTTAGTGATTGTTACACAAAAGGGGGAGGGCAGGCATCTCTCCTCGCGAAGACACCGAGGGTCCGCAGGACGAAGTCTTCCGACTTCCGGAGAACTCTCGCAGTAGCCAGCAATCATCTCGCAACACGACGAGCAACACAAAAATCCAGCGTTCCAACTCCATTCCATTCGCAGTCCGTAACTCACCGCCCTCGTCGTCGCTCATCGTCGAGATCTTGAGGAACTCCTGCAGATGCTTGGGCAGCTTGCGCGCGTCCCGCAGCTCCTTGCCGTCGACCAGGAATCGGGCGTTGATCACGTCGCCCTCGTCCTCCTCGTGGTCTGTGCCGCTCTCGTCAAGATTGATGCCGAACTTGTCCAGCCGGCTGCGCGCCTTCTCAATGAACTCCTTCGCCATCGCGCTCATGTGATCGCCCGACCTACCCGACTTGATGTCCTCGTGAGAACTGATCTTCACGACTTTGTGATTCTTCCGCTCCTGCCGCTCCAGCACCTTGTGCACGTATTCGTCGTACATTCGTTGGCGAAACACCTCGCCGTTCGTCGGCAACGTCGTCGGTCTCGTCGCCTCGACATTCTTTCGCAAGTTCGTTTGATTCATTTTCTCGGTGGACACCTTCGGCGTCCCCGTCGTCTCCGTGCAATGTTCGTTAATTTTTTCCTCGTGGAATTTCGCCGTCCCGTTCTCCGGCGTTCTCTTTAGGTTTCCCTTCTGGGTGATCACGCGGCATTCCTCGCGCTCGATGCTCTCCGCGGATTCCTCGCGCACCCCGTTCTCGCGATGCACCTTCCTCAAAAACTGCCGGCTTCCCGTTTTATCGATCGTCTCCGCACGATCCTCTTCAACATTCCGCGATTTCTCTCGCCAGCATTCCCTCTGAAATTCCGGCTCGCTCCGCCGGGTCTTCCTGAAACAATTCTCCTCGAGATTTCGATGCTCCTCCCGCTTGTTCTTCGCGTATTTTCCGTCCGGCGTCTCATCGCGCGTGTCAATCGGCACTTGGCGTTCGAAATTCGCGCTGGTTTTCATCGAGGTTTCCTCGGGGATGTCGGTGAGGGAGGATTTTCTCGCGTCGTCGCACTGTTTCGTTCGATAAAAATGCGTTTGAAATTCTTCGAAGGCCTTTCTCTCCTCCTCCTCCGCTTCCAGGACATTTTTCAGCTGCTCCTCCAGTAACTCGATGTACTTGAGCTGCCGAGTGAAGCACTCCTGCGGCAGAGAGTTCCTTCTGTCGCCGTCGAGCCGCCGCGACGTCTCCGTCTGCAGTTCCTTCAACTTGTCCATTATTTCAACCGCAGCCACATGCTTCAGCTTCTCTGCCGTTTCGCGATGAGCCTTCCGCGGCTCCAGATGACTCCTCGGCGGATTCTGATCGAAGATGCTCGTCGTATCGATGCACGATCGGTCGACCGTGACCGTGCGCTTCGGCAATGGCGGCACTTCCAACTTGTCGTCGATCAACGCCGGATTCACGTGTCTGCCGGGATCGGCTGTTCTCCGGAGCGTCGGCGGCGTCCGCCTGCTGGTCGTCGTGTCGGTCGATCGATCGATAATGGCGCTGCCTGGTGCGTATGAGCTCCTCGCGATATTATTCGCCAACGGCCTCTCCGAATCACTCGCCGACCGTGTCGCAATCTTCGGCTGATCGGACCGGGTCACATGGCCGGCCGGCTTATCAGCGCGCGATTCGCCATCCTCGCCCCGCGTCGCTGCCAGGAATAGCTCGTTCGCGGCGGCGCTACGGCGATCGCCGCGTCCGGCCAGGCTCGACCAGTCGCTCGAACGGGCGACCTCGGGACGTTCTTGGTCCGCGACTTGGTCGTCGGTCGTCTTTCGCGATCCGTTCCGTTCCTCCTTGATGATCTCCAGCAGCCGGCAACTCGATCTCTCGAGCGTGTCCCGGTGAGTTGCGCGCGCGGGCGGCTCAGGTGTCTTCGCGATCGCGTCGTCGTTCCCGTCGGTGCCGACGATGGGACGGATCTCGACTCGGTATTGCGGCACAGGCACGCGCTGCGGCTGTTCCTCGCGATAGCTGTACCGGTTCAGGAACTTCCGGTGAAGATCCAGCAGCGTGTCCGCGCTCGCGCGCACCTGCGCCGCCTGTTGCGACGGCGACAGGCACACCAGGAGCCTGGGATCCTCCGCGGTGGAGAGACCGCGCCATCGTTCGCGCTCCATCTCACTCGCCGATCGTCTAGCGCGGTCCGAAACAGCGGTTTCAAGGTCGTTAGAACGCGACGGCTCGCGCACTGCCGGCGTTCTCGTCAGTCCGCGCGTCCGCTGATCGTCACTCTTCGCTCCGCGCTGTTTTGATCGGGCGTTATCGCTCGGCCGATGAGCGCACGTCGCCGGCACGTCACTCACAAACCTCTGCAGGGTCCGCAGATTTTCGAAGATGTTCAGCCGCGGTGCGGTGATTTCGTCGATTACTCGCGGTCCAAACGGCAGCGACAGGATTCTTTTCACGCAGAGCTCCTTCAGAGAAGGCAATGAACGTGACGGACGAGTTTCTTTCTCGGCTTCGTTCGATGGCACGTAGTGGAGATTTTCCACCGACGTCGAGTAAGGAATTGGCCGCGGCGATTTCAAATTCCCTTCCAAGTTTTCATCAGTGAGTTCTTCCGCATTCTTCGACAACGCGAGCTTCCGCTTCAAGAATTCTTCCGCTTCGCTCTTCGGATTATCCTCGTCTTTCGTCTCTCGGACGATCGCGCTGATGTCGGTCAACGATGCCTCCAACGGCCGATGTTTCACGGTGCTGAGAGACGTGGTGCTGCTAGACGAGTCGTGTCCTTGAACGTCGCCCTCGGAATCCGCCGGGACGCTCGCCCTGCGAAAGTTCGCCTCGTCGTCGGACTCCGAATTTTGCACATCGTCGCTCTGTCGCGACAAACTGCGCGTCTCCTCCTCGTGCTTTTCCTCGCGCCTCTCCTCGCACTTCGACTCCCACGTTGAATACTTGGAATTCCGATGACCGTTGAGCTGGTTAGCGCTCGAGATCGCCTCGCGTCGCTCTATTATCTTCGTCTCCGACGTCTCGCTCTTCACCGACGTTCGCTCGCGATGAATGCTGAACGTCGATTTCTCGTTCTTTCTTTCCTTTTTGGACTTTTCCTTGCTCTTGCTGCCTGAAGAACCCATCGTTGGCTTATTTTCCGCCGAGGAATTCAGACGAATATTTGTCTCTTCGCTCTTCGATGATTCATTCGTCGCGAAACTTTTCGAATCGTCCTGACGCGGAGGACACCGGCGCGTTTCAACTTCGACTTCCCGTCGGCTCGACGACGCGCTTCGATCATATGCCGCCGGTGCAACGGGCGTCGCCGGCTTCCCTTCCTCGCGACGCGTTATTTCCGTGCTCGTCGTGCCTGCCAGCGCGACGCCGAGCGTACCGACGCCGCGCGAACATGACGGATCATCGTCGCGAATACCCGATGACGCGATCGATCGGTCGACTTCGGCCAACTTCTCGGTTTTCAGAATGACATCCGCTTCTCCGACTCGGTTTGTACAGTTACGAGTCGAGGAAGATTCGCGCGAGATCGACGAGGCGTTTTCATCAATCGTCCGACTGGAGCTTTCAGGTTTCGGAAGCCGCGGCCGCCGCGGCGCTTCGACGTCGCGACTCGCGCGCTTTCGCGCGAGTAAATTCGGCGACCCGGTTTCGTGCGCGTCGCTCGCCGCAACGAGCGACTGATTAATCTTTGCGCTACGCGGAATATAGTCTATTTCAGGTGGCGTCGGTGGTCTCGGAGGTTCGCGGTCGAAACTGGATGATCTTCTCGGAGGTAGCGGAGGCTGCTGCTTCATCCTCAGCGCTTCGCTTTGCGACAAACTCGAAGATGAGTCAATTTTATCTTCCATTTGCGGCACGTTGCGATTTTCCATCGCGGACGCTTCGATGGAATTTTTCTCGCATTTTACTGACTTTGTAGATTTCTCGATTTCGGACGATTTATTTTCGTCTGTTTTATTTATATCGCTTATTGTTATCATCTCGTTTACCGTCGCGTTGGATATGATGTCACTTTTCAAATACTTTTCCTCCGACAGTTCGTTGTCTTCTGTTTTATTTATGTCGCTTACATCACTTATTGTTACCGTGCTTTTTATCGTTGCTTTATTTTCGATGTTCTTCATTTTTTTATTCCCTAATCCTTCTTCATCAACGTCGTTCACAGTATTATTTTTCGCTATTTTCTCGCTAATTTCCTCGGCAATATTAGGATTCTCAATTTTTAAACTTTCTTGCGTCGTCATAATTTTCACAAATTCATTAGATGTATCACTTTTTAAATACTTTTCTTCAAGTAATTCGTTGTTTTTTGTTTCACTTATATTAATATCGTTTTTTACCGTCGCATTTGCTAATATTTCTTCATCAACGTCGTCTGTAGCGTCGTCTGTAGCGTTTGGTGCTATTTCAATTTTCTTAGTAATATAAGAATCCTCAATTTGCAAGTTTCTTTGCGCCGTTGTAATTTCTACAGATTCATTAAATATTACATCACTTTTTGCGTTCATTTCTTCGTTTGTCGCTTCGATCGTGGAATCAGCGATTTCCGCCATTTGCGCTTCAGGACTCGCGACATTTTCGGCAGACTCGGACTCGACATTTTCGCATTTTTCGCAATTAATCGCTTCACTGCGCAAGTCCTCGTTTTCCGTCGTATCGATCTGAATCTTAATGTCATACCGAAGCTTCTCGGGATCGGTTGTTCTCGCCTCGACATCGTTCGCTCCACTTTCGACGGAATGGCGGTCCTCGCGCCGATACTTGCTAATCTCTTCGTTGATGAAGTCTCTGATGTGCTGCGCCTCGTCCTCCGACAGCCTCTCGCCCTCTTCTTGTATAATATCGAGAAAACTGCTAGCGTAATGCGACGCCGACATCGCGCGCTTTCTCGTCTTCCGGCGCGACGAGCCGGTTACTCTCTCGACGGATCTGCTTTCCTCCGCCGCGACGTCCCGCGGGAGCTTTTCGAGAGTCCTGCCCTCGTCCTCGGCCACCTCTTCGGAGAAGCTCGGCAATTGAAGACCCTCGATGAAGTTCCTCAGCTTCCTCTCCACTTCTTTCGGCATCACCGTCGCCCACATCGAGGCCGGCGATTCTGCCTCCGGTTTCGAAACAAACTTTTTCTGCGACGCGAATTGCTGCGACGATCCCATTCGATCTATCCGTTTGGATCCCTCGCGATCCACGGAGTCCCGTTCTTCCATCCTCCCAAAATCCTTCTCCGCGGATTCGCCCTCGGATTCAAATTCAACGATCGTTGGCCCGCAGTCGACCTCCACATCGCTGTCGTTCACCTCCTGAATCTCCAATCGATTTCCCTTCGACAGTCCGCTTCTCATGCAGGCGGCGAGCGACCGTATCGATTCCACCGGCTCCGATATCGTCACTATCGTCGATTCCCTCGTCGTCCTGTCGCCATTCCCAGTCTCCAGGATACCCACTCCGGCGATATGGCCGATCGTTGCCTCGAGCGGCAGACTGCTGACGGTCGTGATCTCGATTATCCGGGCTTGCGATTCCGCCAGCTCGATCTTCTCGATTCTGCGTCGGTCGTCGGGCCGGATTTGGCATTCGCGACTCGGTGATCCGCCGCGATTCCGCGCAACGGTATCGTTCGTCGTCTTCGCATTGTCATCATCGTCGTCGTCGTCGTCGTCGTCGCGCTCGTTTCGCGAAGTCGCCGGAATTTCCTCCTTCCGCTTGTCGTTCCGCGACGATTCCACGAGATTCGCCGGTGGCTGCGGCGGCCGCCGTCGGTGCCGATTTCTACGGCCGCGATAGCGGTTGCGCGCGTTGCCCTGTGGCATCCCGGCGGCGCAGTCCTCCGCGTCGGTTGCGTAATCCAGTGGCTCGCAGTGTCCTGTGATGTCGCGAACTCGTGCAGAAACTCTCGGAGCTCGCTTCTCTATCCTCTCTTTTTTTCCCCCTTTTTTTATTCACTCTTTTTCTTCTCTTTCTTCACAGAATTCTCCGGAGATATCGCGTCGCGGTCGTTTTACGTAACTTCTCCGAGTTCCTCCGGCCACCCGTTTTCCTCTCTCTTTTTCTCTCTCTCTTTCTCTCTCCGCATCTACGTAATATTTGCTACGCGTTTTCCCTACTCGGGATTTCTTTCGCGCACGTGCGTTTGACGCTTCCTTATTTTTCACGTTTAAAGACGACGGTTCGTTACAGTTTTCCCCGATATTCCTCGAAAAGAAACAGCAAGATGGGAAAGTTTCGAAGAACGTTAGAAGATGTTACTGCATTTCGCACAGAGAAGAATTGCAATTTTGATCTCTCCCACGAATTCTATTGGACACGAATGGTCTATTTTCAGACAAACAAAATTTATTAATATTTGGCTAACGTTCGAGAAGATATTCAAATTAACTTTCTTTCAACTGTCTTTAATAATCCCTTGAAAAAAAGAAAATTGTTCTTCTTTAATTTAAATACCGTTTTAATTATTGAATTGCTGGAAATATTTAAATATACTCCTCAGAATTATTGAAAAAATTCCTTTCACGAACTTTTAATTTACGCTTTATCTACTTCAGGCCCGAGTTTCGACTCGCGGAGACAATTCGACAGGCTTTTAGGGAGATCGTTCCGGACAATCGCAATCGCAAAATGACGCTTGATGAAGAAAAGAAGAGAAAACCGCGTGTATGTACGGTGTTCGGGTAATCATGCAAATAAGCCCAGTGGTCCAGCCCAGCATTCCAAGTATATATTCTCCTTTTCTCGATAACGAGGCGCACTTACCTTTCTTAACGTCGCTTCGTTGTTCGCTCGGGCAGCTCTTCAGAGCACCGTTCTGATTGGCGTAGCTCTGCTCGACTTTTGTGTCATCTGAAAAGATCGTTGCGGTGAGCAACGCGAATATCTCTCGGCAATATCTTACTTTATCGAAGAATTGTCTTTGATAATTAAAATTTGGCAAGTTTATTAAAAATACAAAACTGCGTTGAAAAATTTTAAAAGTTCTTTAAATATAGTATAGTTTGCATTAAAGTTTCAATTGACAAGACTCTTGACTCGCGACACAATTTTAAAGCGGACCTTCGATACGCGCGAATCTACGGCTTTCGTGCACTATCGGTTAATCGGCGAAAATTCGCGACACTCGCGCGAAACGATGCGACACGGGCTCACGCGTTAAATTTAGGCGAGAATCCCGACGACGCCGCCGTCCATGTTAAACGTCAGCCTCCACCCGCGCAAAATCAGCGGCACAACCGCGACCTGTGTAGGATACGTGAATCACGATTATGCACTGAGCACACGGGACGGACCCATCAGCCACCCACGAAACACGTCCCCCACCCGCGCACCCGGCGGTGTGTGTGTGTGAGAGTCACGTGCTTCGCACACGTCGATCCAGGTGAATTTGTATGTCGCATGCATACATGCACGTTCACGGATTACGGGAGGCTCGGGAGAGGATGTTCTCTGTCATCGGTGCCGGAAATCCACACTCGTTCATACAGCGCGACCGAAAATTCTCATCTATCCCGCCGCGAAAGATATAAGCTAAAGTTCGGCTCTTTGAAGTGGATCAAAGAGATGCATCTGGAAACGCCGACGTGGCGCGCCGTATAAGCGCACTCGGCAACTTGGCGAAAAATTCTGCGAGCAGAAACGTGCGGGATTTTTTGGAAAACGAGCGAGCCGGATATTTACGTACGGCGGTGTGCGCTGTGTGCACACAGATAGCGGCGCACACAAACGCGAAAGTGTAACGCGCATTAGCGCGCACACAGGAGCGATACGAATACGCACGCACACACACACACACGCATACACATACACACACACAGATACCCCTCTAGGATCCCCTCTGAATTCATGAATAGCGCCGCTTCCGAGTTGGACTTCCTTCCGAGTGCACAATGCCGGCGAAGCGACTGTCGCGCGAGCGCACACCCATCTATTTTCCACACTTTTCGTTGCGTCACGGCAGTCGCACGAACACACGCACACGAGACATCCGGAAGTGTCTTTTTATTTCTTTCTCTCGAGCCGTCGTATATTCTCGCGCGACGCTGACCTGTTTAACTCGGCGACGCTCGTCGTCGAAAGAAGCGCGCGCGACTAAAAATAAGGAATTCGATGGAACGGAAACCCGATGATCATAAAAACACACTCATACACACACACTCGGCTTCGTAACCTTGTGCTTACGCAACAAGTCACCGCGCAATAAAATGTATCGCACTAATTGCGTAATGGGATCGAAGAAGCTTACGCGACGGGGTTGGGCCGTCGCGAACGTAAGCGCAATGGCGGGGGATGAAAATCGGAGATAGCCGCAAATATATTACATAATCCCGTAACATAATCCTCTTTGCGAAAGAGTAACAGATTTTTTTTTCTCTCTTTTATTAGCCGCGCCGTTTAATGAGAATAAATAATAATTTATCTGCGATTTAAATAAATATGGTCGATGTGCTGAAAACGTCGCGAACAAAATTGCGACGGCAAATTTCCTCGGGGGGAAAATTAAAGGGGACACTGCTGATGGGGAGGGGGGGAGACCCGGCATTCGCCACGGGCACGTTAATACGCGCAATGGGTGCGTCCCGTCATGCCCCGAAGGTGCCAAGCCCACGTTTCCGCGGTCCGCGTCTTCCATCTTCGTCCTCCACGACCTGCCCTGCCCTGTCCCCCCCCCCTTGCGCCCTTCTCGATCGGACGAGCGCGGCCGAACCCTCACTCGCGAGGCGGGATTTCCTTCGATCCGATCGGCCGCGGCGTCGCTCTTGCGCAACCGGCCGGCATGACATATTTCATTGCCCGACGACACCGTATCCGTTGCATAATCGATCACCGGAGCGTCACGCTCCACGTAGATTTGACGAATCTAAGACCCGCGCCCTTGTATCCGATTTTTACATCAAACGCAATTTTTACAAAAGCTCCGCTTTTGTACATTTCAATATTACATTTTATTGTAGTGTTTAATTTCTTAACAATTGACGGAATATCGGTCATCACGCGAATGATCGGCGGATTTGAAAAAACAATAATCTGAAATTATACAGAATTTCAATTAATTTGTTTACACGATTTATTTGTCGATGCTAATTGACCGTTAACGTGGTTGACGCGAGCACTTTTTATCAACATTTTTCCTGTACGAATGGTCGCTTCAGATATATGGCGTGCAGCTTGTGCTCGCGCTGCGATAAAGGAACAATATCCGTTTCGAACAAACCCGCTCAACAAACGGGGATTGCTATTTCCGGTGGCGCATTGTTCGACCTCGAGGTTGCGACTGGGACTTCGCGACGTAAATCGAAAGCCGTTTCATCGGCCGTAATATCGGCGCATAATATCAAGCACAAAAGCATGTCGCGAAGAAATTGTTATGGTAATTGTAATAACTTCGAGACTTGGACGAATGCGTCCCTCAATATCGCCGCTTTTGAAAAACTCACAGAGCAATAATACAAGGCTTACTTAGACTTACGCTGTTTACTAAAAAAAAATCGACCACAAAACAAACTTTTCCATCGAGTGAAATATACTCTGCGTTAATGAAAAAATAAATAAATAACCCGAGAAATAAAAAAAAAATACGAGAAAAAAAGTTATAAAATTATTTATTGAATTGTGTAATAAATAAATACGGATTTTCCAATATATGGTATTACCGTTTTTTATCACTCATCACGCTTTAAAAATCGTAATACAAAATTTAATTACAACTTCTATAAACGAATATTCAATTTACCAACGCATTTTGTCTGATCAAAAAGTAGATAGATTTATTTTAAAAATCGAAAATTACCAGACAACTAAATATTTAAGAAAATCTGTCTTAGATGTTACAGACCAATATTTTATTAAGTAAAATGTCACAAACTTAGAATTGTTTTATCGGAATATATCGATTTTTTTATAACCAGTGCAGAAAATTGTATTTTATTATGTAAAAAAATTTTTTTTTAATTTAACTCGATCGAATATTGTCAAAATAAATTCGAATTCGAAGCATGTTAAGAAGTTTATAATATAATGCTTGATTTTATGAACTGACAGCGCCGATGTGGCACTTATAACTCTCTCACACATCCTCTATTTAAAGAAACAGATGATCCCCGAAAAGCCAACTTAATGACGCATCACTAATTGCGCCTCGTTTATAACGACAAGAACAGTGCGCAGACGGCGATCGAGTTTCAATGGCAAGAAGCGCACATTGTTGCGAGCCGATGTTAACGCGAGTTGGATTGAGAACCGGAGAAACTCGCGAACTCGCATTCATTAAACTTTTAATCAAATTTGCTCGTTTGTTTATCGAATTCCCGATCTCGACTCTCAGTATTTCGGTATCGATTCTATCATTTCATTCGTCTGCGAAACATTCGATGACAATGTTACGAATATTTATCTAATAAATAAGTTTCCCGCCATCAAACTGAACCATCACCTACCGTTCGTCGTCTCGACATCGAACATGTTCGAATTCCCGCCCGATCTCGCCTTAGCAATTTCTCTCTTTACACGATTATTTGATTTCACCCCTTCGCAGCCCTCGCCGTCGAGTCTCGAATCTTCCTGCTGTCCGACAGATGTTCCTGTGCGCTCGACCTCATCCTTGAAGCGTACGGTCTTGTTCTCGCGCTGGGCGGGCACCTGTTCGCCGTGTCGGCTCTTCAGGATCGGCGCCCGTGCAAACAGATCGATCATCGTGCGTTCGATCCTCAGATGCTCCGCCACAATGCGGTCCAGCGTGGCCGCGTACGATCTCTCGGTGTCGCGCAAATCGCCATTTTCACGGATCGCACTCCAACGTCCGGAGTCGTTCAGACTGCTTTCGGGTCCCTCCGGAATCGCCACGGTGTTCATTCGCCTGAAATCCAGGCTATTCAGCTTGTTCTCGAAGTTCTGTCGGGTCTCCGTGTTGCGGAAACACGGCGGCGGGTCGATGAGGAACTTGAGCGCCTCCAGGTGCTCGTAATATTCACGCTCGAGCTCACCGGCCCTTCTTCCGGCAATACCGACTGCCTCAACGCTCGCCAGGACCTTCCGCTTCCTTAGGTTGAAGCGTCCATTAAGCGTCCCCCGAATTCCCACGCGCTTCAATCTGCCTTCGTCATTCCTGACGAGCGGCTTCTTCGGACGTGAGTCCGGCTTGTTCTTCGCGCCGCTCATTCTGATAATTCTTCGGCGCTTCCACGAAGCGCCGAAGCTGCGCATCGCGCTCAGAAATCGGCCGTTCGGCCGCGACGAGCTGATTCTCTGCGCAGATTCGGAGCGACGATGATGACGCGTGGGCGGCCGTTTCGTCATCACCAGCGGATCCGTCGTCTCGCAGCCGTATCGTTGCGACGAGCGTCGCTGATTCAGCGTTGTCAGGCATCGGGCGCAATCGAAGAGCTTCATCTTTGCAGATTTATTTCATTCTCGTCACTTATCTCGAGCCGGGCAAAGCGCCGTTCGAACTTTGTTAATTATCATCGATCATCGCATTTACTTTCATCGCGCGATTTACCAGATCGACAGATTCACCAAAGCGCGTGCGTCCTTTCTTTCGTCATTACGCAACTGCGATTCATTAAACAGCGATTCGCGACTATTGTATCCCCGGATAATGCCTGTATTGTTGCCAATCGCGTCATTCAATCGTGTCGCCTGGAATTCCCGTTGTTGTACGCATTTCCTGATTGAACACTCATCGATGTTGCCCTTCGCATTCGGCCGATCGTCCAGCATTACGTCGGTGAAACTCGCCGACGGGCTTTCATAGGAAAAATTACGCCAGGAAAATATTTTCACAGTAAACTCGATCGAGGGGGGGTCGATCACATAATCGTCAACGGGCTCTTAATCTCTCTTTCATTTCTCATCCGATTAAATCTCGTCATTCCGCGCGCCGGAAAAATTACATAATTCAGATTTATGTAAATTCACGCGACGATATTCACATTCCACTCCTCCTTTATCGTTTTACCGTTTTTCATCGGCACTATTCCCCGTGGAAAACTACGCGATCGACCCCCAATGCTCGATCGAACACGCGAAATCCTTCCCGGCGCTCACGCCGACGATTAAACCGGCGCGAGCGAATTCGCTTTTAGACAAACGACGGCGCGACGCGGATCGAAATTCGATTACTCGGCGCGGCGCGTACGACAACGTGTTCCCCGATGTACTGAACGGGAAGGCGGGTTCGTCGAAGCGGCGGTCTCGAAAAGGAAGAAGAAGAGACGAGGAGAGTCGACTCTTTGACGCAGGGCCTTCTCCAAGTGCCGAGGGTGCGCCCGCACGGAATTGCCCGCGTGTCGTTGTAGTGGCAGGTGTACGCATCGTATGTGAGAGCGTACATACGAATCTCGGGACAGGTGTGTCGCGTACGTGTGACCCAATACACGCGAGCTTCGAGCGAGAGAACGACGCCGAGCGTGGGTATGCCCCGTCTGGATGTGCACTGTACCGCGACGACGAGCGGGCAATTTGGAGAAAGAGCCGGCAATAATGACCCGAGTGGGATGATCCGCGCATTTATAGTCCGCGTACACGTCATACGTTGTACTTATTAGGCCAGTCATTAGTCCGTTATTATAAATTTGAAAGATCGAAATAAGCGGCTAATTATCTCCGCGACCGATTGGGTAAGATAAAAATTCAACGGCTCTTTAAAGTAGTATATTTCTCAATGCTCGTATAAAATCGCCAGAATGCTTTCTTTAACAGCACATTTTCATGACTGCGGCTGTGCGCGAAGAAATTTCGAAAAATTGATTTAATAAGAAAAGTTTGGTTCAGTGATTTCAATCATTACAACTTTTTGAAAGAGACTACTGTTGTTTTTTTCTCGTCAGATCATTAAACATTAATGAATGACAACGCACGGAAATTACGATTAATTCCACCGGCTGAAATGTCACCGAGGCTAACTTCGGTTTCTGTGGTACCGTGCATAAAGGAACTGGCCACCCCATTGTGCTCGCCATTGAGATGATCAGAGATAATTAAACTACGCGCATTGTACGCTCAGTTAACTGGCAGGATTATTGTGCACGGCCAAACACCAGTAGTCACGCGTGGGTAATTCCTGGACCCTCCGATTCAACGCGACGCGCGAACGGCAACGGTTCGGGTCCGACGTAAGTTGCGGAGAAGCGAGTTCGCAAATTGTTAATAGCGTCGCAGCAATTCGATAATAATTCACAAGATTACACAATTACAACTGCAATTATACGATCGTACTATCCGTGAATTAATTATATCGCTCCCGCCAAAATTATTTCGACTACTAAACGTCGCAATTGCACGTATGTGTATCTGTGCATTAAAAATTGATTGGAAAATGGTAGTGAGCTTCACGTGGCCGATATTTGATACCACGCGGCATTAACCAGGAATCGATATCGAGCGCGGTAAAGCTCGTTGCTCAAACAGGCGCGCGATTAATCGGAGAGTGCTCATAAATTCGGCATTAATTAATTATGGGCAGCGCGATACATTCGTCGAAAGTTTCTGTCGAAGCGGTCCGCTGATTAATAATTGCCGATGCACTTTTGCGATCAAGAGCTTTACGCGGCAGTGCAATATAAGTGCAATTTTCAATTATTTCATAGATCAATAATATCTAGCATCAAAGTTAACAATTATGTAACAGAGTATCAAACTCACCGGCGCCACTCTTCTCCGCTTCCGTCCGTGTACGTGTGGTTGTTGTGGTTCTCGTGGTTATTTCTGCAGTACAGAAATGACGATAAGTCTCGTGAGAATGTGAGAAATCGATCGATTTACTTTCGCAACAAATACTTACTGTTGTGGATTTCGGTGGTGTTTTCCTGCAGACTGCTCTTGTAAATCCTTCTTTTTGGCGAGCCAATATTTTCCCTGCAACAAAAGCAAAGAACAGAAATTAATTTTCCGGCTGAGAGAAAATCGAGCGTTCAATTCCGCTCTTTGTTTCGTGAAAAGAATTTGGAATATCACTTACTGATTGAGACCAAGCTTCAACTGCTCCCCGGAGTTGCGTAGCAAAGCGTGCGCTTCGCTGTTAGTCAAATCTCGAGTGCTCCTTCCGTTAATGTTGCTAATCAGGTCGCCCTCTCTCACCCCCTGCTGGGACGCCTTGCTTCCCGGATTCACCTGCAATAACAAATAGTATTCATGTAGTTAAAATTCGATTTTGATGCGAAATCGTGTAATTTGATCGATCGCAAACGCCGAGCGAATTATCAAAATCGAAAGGCGGTTGAGAACCACTGGGTCTCCGATGTGCCTGGAGGCAGGCAACTTCCCAGACACGCGATGCCGTCTGAAAGCAGCGGCACAGGCGGAACGACGACAAATTACCGCATTGTGGATCGAAACGTGATGAAATATGGTCACCGCTTGAAAGTTGCGAATTAACCACAACCGCTGCAGAATATTTAAAAGAAACATTAGATTACGAAGGTATGAAGAAAGAATTAATATTTATACTTTTCAGGATTGTTTCACGCAGAAAGAGTCCGCGGTTATACATCTGCCGTCTATAGATGAATATTCTCGCACACATTTCACACAATCGTGCTAACAAAGTTAAACAAACGATGCACGTACAAAGTCTGTCAGAATAAATCCGGGAAAATTAACTTTCCTTCGACGCGCAACATATCTCGGCGCGAGATTTAAGTCGCAGACGCTTAAGATTCTCACCGTGCCGTCGCATTTCCGTTGGCCGGATGAGACTCGGAACTTCAACATTCCGAGGAGTCCCCGCGCTCGATATCCTCGCCGTTGACAGAGCGCTATCGCGGAACGAATGTAAGTACCGGCGAGGGAGGCTTGTCTCGAGCTCCCCTTCGTCACACCGATCGAAACTTTTATCGCCGTATGTTGTAAATCTCAAGCTCGTCTTATTCGATCTACGAAACGAATGACGCGTGTGTAGCGCCGCTTATTATCTCATAAGCATTTATTTACATTTTTATGACAAGTTCAAAATTCGCGCTCAACGCGCGAATGTACTTCTTATCCGAGCGATTCGGTTAATATTCATCCCGTTAAATCTGTTTGATTCGACGTGTTGTTCGCGCAGCGACTTGCGAATCCCGAAGTAAAATGCAAATTGCGCAAGAGTGACGAGCCACCGTTAAGATAACGAGATCACCGGGGATTTCGCGAAAGGAGAACTATTTGCGGACGGGGCGGAATGCTCGGTCGCGAGACCATGAAGACTAAGTAGACGATGTACAGCGCGTCGGAGGAGAACAAGCACTGAGGACTCGTTCCCTGGACAGAATGCATCGTCGTTGGACCGCCAGTCGCATTGGCGCCAGACTTTTCGACTACAGTGGAACAACAGGGAAGCTTTTCCGACTGACCTTCCATGGCGATGTTGTTTGGATTTTGAGAGCGGCGGAGGGATGAGGGAGACTGTAACGCGATGAGATATACGACGACCCGATTTCCGACCAAATTTTGTTTACACGGCGTAATCTGGCCTTCGGCCAAACCGCATTATTTCTCGCATTAATTCGATTGGAAATGCACATTAGAAATATCAATTGTGCCGTATATGATTTCAGATTTCGCCTTGAAATACAAGATTAATTATTTACTTACAATAAATAATAATCGGTGGCAAAAATAAGGTTTGCACAAGTCGTGTACAGAATAAACGCGGACGAAATAAACTTTTCCACTTTGATATTTATTATGAGAACGAAGGGAAAGGAATATCAAAGCAGAAAGTCAAATTATCGACGGTAAGCGAGCGAGCGGCCGCGAAAACAGGCACGAAGTGAAACAGGCGGACGAGCGTTGAACTAGCAGACGGAATTCCACGCTTTACGCTCCGCGCGTAAATCTTTCAAACTTTTAACTATGCGAGACACGACTTCCCAAGTGCATCGACGAAACTTGAGGACGCTTCGCTTCATTACCAGCCTCAACGCGAGTCACTCCCGACTGAGGAACTTTCCGAGGTATCTGCGACAACGTGTCGCTTTAAGCTCCTTTAATAGATTCTGCATATAAATAAATAACAGCCTGATGATCATCGTTATTGCTCATGTAAAACTAACTAATAAAATTTCAGCAGAAACAATTAAATATTAAAATATTCAATTTAATCGTATTAACATCTCTTAAAATTCCACATTTCCGTGATGCTATTTCCGGAGTATTCGTTTTACGTTGAAGCGTCACACAATTTCATCCGATTTTAACGACCCTTTAACCGACGTGCGGCGAGACTAAGGGAGGCCGCAAAAGCGATTGGAGAAAGCGACGTAGGAAATTGCTTTCGGGCAGCGCGAGATAATAGAGAATCCAGAGGCGAGAACGAGCGCGGCGGTGGAAAGCGAGGAAAAATCGGACACGATGATGTAGGACCGGTCGTGGAGGATCATCCGTGACCAACTTCGCCACCAGTGAGATAATAAGCGATCGCGGGACTACAAAGATCCCGCCGAAGCCGCCCGCGGCTGCTCACACGTTTTGCTAAAACGCTCGCGTAATTCGTTCCGCGATCGCGCGAATAATTCCACGCACGCGCCGTTTTCGAGATCAATCTGGGGATTCGAGTTCGGAATGAAGAGAATCTTCGCCTTTGGAAAACCGAGGAAGATTTAAAATCTCCCGACATTTGACTGTCGCACTTTTAATTTTCGCGAGGGAAATATCGAAAAAGAGAGAGAGAGAGAGAGAGAGAGAGAGAGAGAGAGAGAGAGAGAGG